ACTAGAGCTATTATTATTTCCATCACCTCACCATCACCAGCACTGGTAGTGCCATTTGCACAGACCCTACTTACTGTATTTCTTCTTCGATGGGCTGCAATGCTTGTTTTCGTACCCGCGTGCTTGTCGGCTATGCTGTGTGTCATGAAGGGCGTGAAACGAGTGGTGATCAGTGTGTCGCTTGCCTTATGAAAGCTCGTGCAGCGGTTGAACCTGGAATTCGGTATGAAGGTTTCAGCCACTGTCTGCTCTAACAGGTAATAATTCTGGGCTTGTGAAGCTGACTGGTGCGCAAGTTCCGGCCAGCCTCAAGCCCTCAGCAGGAGGCCCACAGCTCAAAACCTACTTGTTGCTCCCAGGGTGTAAACCCGGACCACAACGCAGAGAGCCCACGACCTCTTAATTAAGGAATATACCTCAAACTATCAGGCGCTTCACAATATGACTTGAGCTATATTCCTTAAGTAAGGGGTATTTATTGGGCTCTCTGGGAACACCGCAATAAGCGCCGAAGCCGAAACACCAAACCAAAGATCATCTCAGCTCTGTTGACCCTAAACCCTAAAGCCCTAAACCCTGAACCCTGAACCCCTAAACCCTGAAGCCCCTAAACCCTGAACCCTGAACCTTGAACCTACTCCCCTGCCAGTCCTTGAACTCCAACCGGCTGGTTCACATCGTGCAGTGAGAGAGAAAGGCAAAAAAGCAGGTCTCCAATCAAACTCTCTTCAGTCAGTGCATGTCCGAAGATGATAAGGGATATCGAAGCAGGGGGTATGATTTCACCAAATCTAGCATCGGCGGATATTGAACATAGTCTAAACCAATGAAGTTAAGACAGTTAAGTGGTTCCCAGATTGCGCGCTGGCGCTTCAAAAAAGCTGCCGAGTCTGTGCGGGGTTCAGGGCCTATGCAGCAGCCAGAGAAGCCCGGAAAGTAGGTAGGTTACAACAAAGCAGAGGTGCAAGTACCCTGAAGATCCTACTTATGTACAACCCTATTCGTGTCGTCATACTTTCATACTTTGCGTGCCGCTGATGAAGCTCATCATTCTAAAGCCACCCTCAAAACACAGTCCTAAACCCAAGTCCCTTAAGCAGCACATAAGAGTGCTAAAACCATTTTCCCTAAATCCTAGACCCTAAAACACGGAAGAGTACTAATTCAGCAAGAAGCAGAACCTTAAACCGTACCCATCCTCGTGGTTTGCTTTTGAGGTTCCCTGCGAACACGGCCAGGGGGGGGGGGTTGAGGGGGACGCGGATTGGAGGGGCACTGAATTACTAGTAGTATTGTCTGTGTATGACATTGCTGCTATTGCCAATACTTTCATACTTCCTAGGTCTTTGTGTGGCTGTTCGTACATTGTCACTACCATTCCCATAGTGCCATACTTGTCACTGATATTGTTATCCTTAGTACGAATCTGTTTCTTATTACAGTTTTCACGATTGTGCATGATGAACACTACTAGTCATCCGTGATTACAGCTTGCTCTTTTTCGTCATGGTCATCATCATCATCACAAGTGTTAGTAATAATGATATTGCTCATCTCATGTTGATGGTGGTGGTGCTGGTGGTGGGAGTGGTGGTGGTGGTAGTAGTAGTAGTTGTTGTTGTTGTGGTTGTTGTTGTTGTTGTGGTGGTGGTGGTCGTAGCGATAGCAGTGGTAGTGGCAGTAGCAGTGGCAGTGTTAGTGTTCGTCGTAGTAATAGTAGTAGTAGTAGTAGTAGTAGTAGTAGCAGCAGCAGTAGTAGTAGGAGGAGGAGGAGCAGCA